ACACACACACACACACACTAAAATACTGTACTGTAACATTTTAAATGTTACAGTATTTTAATTTGAATTGTTTATTTAAGGGGGAAGATTGGGAGTAACAGGAGTGTGATTACAGCCTGGCACGCAATTACAAAGTTTACTGAACTTAAACTGAACTTGAACTTCTGTATTCCTACTTCGCGGTTTTTCCACTTATCGCGGGTGGGCGTGGTCCCAAACACCCGCGATACACGAGGGACTGCAGTACTTTGGTACTTGTACAAATCTAGAGATAGTTAATCTGTTAGCACATCAGCATCAGGTTATTATCAGTACGAGGCCTTTGAACCTGCTTACAGTCAGGTGGTAGCTCTGATGGGCTGCAGCAGCGTTCTGCAGGTAAGGAGCATTTAGCTTCGGATTGGTCACTTGCTGACATGCCTACTGGATTGATTGACAGGTCGCGTTGTGGATTCGACGCGTGGTAAATAAACGAGAGCTGAAAAAAAGTCTCATACGACTTTATTCACGTAATATTAAGACTTTATTCAACTTTATTCTCATAATTTTATGGCTTTTAATTTATTTTTCTTAGCGTGGCCCTAAAGCTCCGTCATAAAAACCACTTCATTGAGATGCAGAACTTAGCCATTTGATGCTAAGCTAACTGACTGCTGGTACCAGCTTCATAGGAAGGACAGGGAAAAAAGATCTAACTATGAGAAAGAAGCAACTCTGTATTTCACCCACGTTTCATTAAAAGGACTGTAAGTAGTTTATGAGTGAGACGCGAGAAGCGTTTTGTTTCTGTGCAAGTTTGAGTTGCATCAAAAACCATTTTCTCTGTCTGCAGTGAAAACACTCGTCTCTTCATCCTTCTCGTGACTACCGGTAGTTCTGACCCGTTTGAGACTTCGGATGACTTCATATGGAAAGGTAGCAGAAATTTTCTGTTACATAAATAATGTTTTCAGGTTTTAAAAATATCGTTAGTAAAACACATTCAAGTTCCAGACAAGAAAAAAAAACAAACAAGTAAAATTAAATTTTAGTCCCATCTTTAAAAACTATCACCTAAAAATAGATGGTGATCGCGCCTGATGAAGATTGTACAACCAATCCTCTGAGACAACATGGTTATTACAGGCAGCAGGATTAATGTTAATAGTCTAAAGTGACCTAAGCTGGTACCAACAACCTGTCTATAGCAAACTGTAAACGGTCCCAGTTCTTCCAGAAGACAGTCAAAAAGCACACCCCCAGGATGGTTGCTACCACGTGATACCGGCTCCTCATCAGCGGGGCGGCGAACTTGGCAGCAGTGGAGACACAAACCAGGATGACAGTAATGATGGCCAGCATGATGTTGATGGTCTTCCCCAGTAGGACGCGGGCGTTGGGACTTTCCAGCTGGACCGTCTGCTGCTGGTGCTGCTGATGGATCTCCAGCTTGGACACGCGAGTCTGACACGACTCGAGGGCTTCCTGAAACAGAAGGTTCAAAATGTTTAAGTTGCCACAGAGCGTCTTGTTGTTCCAATTCTCATTTGTGTTAATTTTCCCAACAGCAGGGAAACAGGAAGACGTTCTGGGATTACAGGACGTGGTCTTAACAGTCAAGTCATAAAACTGTTAAACATTAAAGTTTCTCTGTAATTCCCTGTAAAATTTTCATCAGTCAGACTGTATAAACTGCATGTATTAGAAAACTGGATCTGAGACGAGCCTTTTACACAATCTATTGAGTCATAACTCAAAGACTGACTGGTCACCAGCATAACTTGTGTTTTTCTGACCAGACCAAAAACATTTTTTCATTGAAGAACTTGGGGGGGGGGGGGGGGGGAATAGAAACATTACTGAATCATTTGTAAATCACTCACAAGTCTCTAATATTTACAGCAAGAACAACATATTGAAGTATAAACCTTATTTATTTGAAAATATAAGCTCATTATGAACAAAATGTCCCCAAAATGTTTTAAATAAGTTAGAACAGGGCCAACTGAAGCTGCGGAGCATTAAGCAACAAATTAGATTTCCTTGTGACATCTTGGTAATGACTAATTTAATTTTAAAAATAGTTAAAGGTAATAGAAATCTTGAAAGAAGTCACTCTCGTCCTAAATAGGGGAAAGCCACAGGGGTGTGTCCTCAGCCCTCTTCTATATTCCCCATCCACATGACACATATGACATCTCATTCATTCCACTCACACCATCGTCACACCACCATGCGGGGCTCATATCGGACAACACAGAACCAGTCTACAGGGAGGAGGTCCAACACTTGACAGAATGGAGCCACAATAACAACCTGGAACTAAACACGAGTAAGACCAAGGAACTCATTCGGGATTTCAGGAGATCCAAGCGCAGAGAGCACCCTGCCCTTTGTATCAACAAACAGGAGGAAGAGAGGGTGGAGAGCGTTAAGTTCCTCATCTCAGCTGACCTAGGCTGTCACCTTAGATGTTAACAGCCCAGGTAAGGTCAGCCCAGGTGAACATCTTGGCTGTCAACATCTCCTACCAGGTGGAGAAGGACAAACAGAGGCTTTACTTCCTCAAGAAGTGAAGGTAGGCTCACCTTCCTCACCCCCTGCTGGTGAACTTTTACAGAGCCACCGTGGAGTCCATCCTGGCCCGCTGCTGCACAGTACAGTTTACCAGCTGCACTGAGGAGGACAGCAGGGACCTGCAGACGGTGGTGAGGGTAGCTGGTAAAATCCTTGGGACCGCACTACCCTCACTCAGTGACATTTACACTGGACGACCCCATAGGAACACCTCGAAGGACCCTGCTCACCCTGGACACACCCTGTTCTACCTCCTCCCCTCTGGCAAGACATAGCAGACCATAAAATCCAGCACAAACAGACTGAAGCACACCTTCTACTCTATCCTCAGGCTGTGAAAGCATCACCCCGGATCGACCCAGAGCTCGTGCTGAAGTGAAATTACTAAAGACGTGCCACTCACAGATTGTTTTCTATTTATACGTACAGTCCATCTTAACTATGCACTTTTTCGTCTTAACACTGTGCACTGCTGCCATGGAGGATGACGAACTGTGTTTGAATGTTTTTAGTTTGTCTTTAACGAAGCGTTTTGCAGTGAAAATAAAGACTGATTCTATTCTAGAATGTGAGTTAATAATTTGAACAAACAAAAGTGAATTATCTCAAAACTAGTGGCTAAAATTCACTGTATACATGACAGACGACTAAAACCTGAAGTGAATCTTGTTATATCTGAGCTCTCAAGAGTAAGTATTTCAAACCAGACCTGACTGTGCAGGAGCACCAGAGCGTGTGTGAAACCACCGTCAATAAGTACAAACCATGAGTGTGTTCACAAATTCAACTGGAAACGTCACAAAACTACTCGTCCGACAAAACTTTCAGTCATGAACATTAATAAAACCTGTCTGGCCTATTATTTCATTAATATCTACACATCTGATGAACAGAAAAATGTTAGAAACACATCCAGGATCCTAAAAGTGCTTGGTATAACTAAAAAAAAAGTGCATTAAAAATACCTATTTATTTTAAAAACAATAAAAAGTTGGTAGGGATTTGTTTGATGTTGCATGAAGCCCTTTAAGATGAAATGAGGGCAATTGAAAAACGATCCTGTGGAGTGATGAAGCAAATGTGACATTCTGTTGGAAACCCATAGGTGCTGCATTCCTCGGACCAAAGAATGGGGCCAGGCAGCAACCAGAGGGGTCGAAACACGCAGTAATCTGAGAAGGCAGCATTAATGTTAAACAGCTTTCACATACGTTTTTAATAGAGGAGCATTTTTTAGAGCTGTGAACAGTGGAAGTGCTAAACTGGGTGACTTTACAACACATACCTCACTGAAAACATTCAGAGCAATAAAAAACTAAAAGATACATGAAATAAAAGTGGGGGGAAAGCAGCATCTCAGTTGTCAAATACACAGATTCTGTTAACAACGAATACTGTATATATATATAT